AAACTGGTAACAGGATTTCTAAATTGTTTTACATTTTTCTTCCCCTTTTATAATAAAAGTACAAATACTCATTCATACTGGCTCTGGCCTAAGTACTCACAATCATCCCATAACATAGACTATTATGCTCATTCTACAAATGAAAAAACAAGGCTTAGAAAAAGCAAGCAGCACACTTAATGTCAGTCACACAGAAGATAGTTATAGAGCTGTGATTCAAACCCAACATGAAGGATGCTGCTATTCATCCTTACTATATGCTCTCTTTCAATGGAGAAAATTACTCATTCTTTGCTATTCTATTTCACAAAATATAGTCCAACAACACAGGGTGAAAAAAAAAAGGGGGGGGGGGTAAGAACTGGCTATACTTATTTATTAATTTATCCAAAAAAATATTTATTAGCTACTCAAAGCTCTTGTTGAACATTAAGTTCTTTTAAGTGTTGCTGAGTATTTGGTATACACACTGAACAGAAATGTTGAAACTTAACCCCCTGCGTGATCGTATTAGAAGGTGAGGCCTTGGGGAATAACTAGGTGATAAAGCTGGAGCCCTCATAAGTGGGATTAGTGCCTTTATAAAGGGACTCCAAGAAACTCTCTTGCCCTCTTTCTACCATGCAAGAATAGAAGATAATAGTCTGAAACCTTAAAAAGGGCCCTCAGGAAAACACAACTGTGCTGGGACTCTGATCTTAAACTTCTAGCCTTCAGAACTGTAAGAAATAAATTTCTGCTGTTTTTTTTTTTTAAAAGAACTATTTATTTAATTTCATTTATCATCATCATCATCATTATTATTATTATTACTATTTTTAGAGAGACTTTTTGCTATAGGGTGCATGTGTTTACAAGAGACAGAAAGTGAGAAATCACCCCCAGGGGAATAGCCGTGCCTTAATCGTTTCTCCTCCAGTCTTCTCTTGGGACTTTGGGCATACACCCACATGTGCCCAACCTGAGTTTTAAGCCATCAAGTCCAGGACTCAAACTGTGATCGTCCATGGGGGAGTCCAGCAATGTAACCATTATGCCATCTGCTGGTCCTGACTATTATTATTATTTTAACATATATTTATTTATTTGTTGTCATCTTCAAGCCACTAGATCTAGGACTCGAACCATGGTTGGCCACATGGAAATCCAGCACCTTATCCATCATGCCACCTGCTGGCCCCACTATTATTATTTTAATTTGCTACAAGGCATGTACACTCACCAAGGAGTAGGGAGAGAGTAAGAGAGAGAGAGAGACACAAAGTAAGAAAGCAAGCTACCAGGTCCAGGACTCAAACTGTGGTTGACCATGTAGGATTCTAGTGCCTTTACCACCACGCCACCTGCTGGTCCCAATTTCTGTTCTTTATAAACCACCCAGTCTATGATACTTTTCTACAGCTGCCCAAACTGGCTGAGACAGAAACTGCTACTAAGAAGTGAGGGTGCTACTGTAATAAACACTTAAAAAGATTATCTATACATTAGGTTATTATTTTACATAACCCAAAAAAATGTGAAATAATTAACTCTGCTACAAAAACAAAACAAAACAAAAACTCTGATTGTTAAAGTCACTTCTAGTTGAGTCTTCTGTTGCACTAAGAGGTAAGGTATCATAACGGATACAAAAGCTTACCAGAATTTGCATTTGAAAAGAAAATGAGGAAGGACAACCTAGAAAGTGTATGTGTGGGAGGGGAATCAATAGGGGCCAAAAATAGCGGTAAAATGTAATGTTCTGCAAAACTACTGCACTTGGGAGGGCTCTGAGTTCACATCAGAGACCTCCTTGAGTACACTGAGCTGGGGAATCACAGTAGCAAAACCTTGTTAGAGGTTCTCTGTCCTTCCCTCACTCTCTCATTCTGTTGCTCTCACTCACAGAAGAAATAAACCAACAACAAGAACAGGAACAAAGTGTGTCTTCAGTTTGAACAACCAGTTGGATACTGATAGAATGATGTCCAATACCATGACCTGGTTGAGGACAATGAAGAGCCATTTTAAGTAATATTATTGGGTTGTCAGAAAAGTCATGACATTTTTTCCCTATGTTTTTCTATGTAAAAATGTACCATCACTTTTCCAACAACTTTATATTATTGATAGAGACTCTAAATTATGGTGGCAAATCTTATCAAACTCAGTATTGATCATCAGTCTGGAATAAACTGGATATACTACATCAAAAAGAACATTAAAATGGTGCTAGCAAGTGGCATGGTGCTTAATGTGCTAGATTCCCACATGCCAGTTCAAATCCTGGACCCAGTGGCTTTAAAATCATGACGGGTGCGTGTGAATGTGCATGCATGCCTAAAATCCCAAGAGGAGAACGGAGGAGAAGGGACTGCAGCATGGTCATCCCCCTGGGGGATGATTTCTCACTTTCCCTCTCTCTATCTCTTCCCAGTGAGTGCACGTGCACCATGGCAAAAACCTTAAAAAAAAAAAAAAAAAAAAAAAGGAAAAACATGCGAGTACACAAGAAGTTACCAGAAGGGTGGAATGTAGAGACCACATAACCTGAGATGACAAACTCACAGACTAAAAGAGGAAGACTACTGAGGGCACAATAGCTATTTTCAAGGGCTCTCCTGGAAAAGAGGGACTGGATTTTTGTCACCATTTCACTAGAAGACAGTAAAAGTAACAAAGTTTTCAGAGGTAGATCTGGGCTTAAGAAAAATACTTTTCTAGCCACTGGACTAATCTAAAATTCAAAGAAATTAGCTCATGAGATAGTGAAATTTACTTTCACTGAGATAAATACTGAGTGACCATCTGTCAAAAACATTCTAGAACAGTATTCCCAGAAAGTGGGATACACACCACTATTTGTACAAGAGTGATTTTAACTGGTGCATACATTTATTTCACTCATTAAATATTTATGAATCACGTACATTAAAAACAAATAAATATATATATATATTAAACTAGCCGTCAATCTCTAGATTTCATGAAAATTACTATTTAAGGATAAATGAAATAACAACGTAAAGCTGATTCAAAGAAAAATGTAAATAAATAAATCCGATTTAACTTAACTAGATAAATTATTTTATTGTTAGGTACCACCTATCTATATGGATAGATAAGCAATAAAACACCATCAAAAATTTGGGCTGGCCCTGTAACCTAGTGGTTAAGAGGACCAGACCCTATGTGGCCGAATGTGGTTTGAATCCCAGCCCCAGAGACTTGAAAACATACCAGGCACATACATGTGCATGAACAAGACTCCAAAAGGACAGAGATGATCTTTGGCTTCCTGTCTCTCTGTCTCCCTCCCTGTAACTCTGGTGAGCATGCGTACCCTATAGCAAAAAATCTCTCTCAAAAAATAAATAAATGAATAAAGAGTATTAAAGATTTAAGAAAAAGAAAAGGAAAAAACTTCAGAGAGAAAAAATATTTTTAAATAAAAGAAAAACAGAAAATTAATTATAATACAAGTGGAATTAAGACAATATCAACAATCATGAAGGTATTATAGAAATGTCTAAATTTTGGGGACCAGCAGTTAGCATAATGGCTATGTCGCTGGACTCCTACAGCCAACCACGGTTCACATCCTGGACCCGGTGGCTTAAAACTCACGCCGGGCACATGTGCGTGCGTGCCCAAGATCCCAAGAGGAGAATGGAGGAGAAGAGATTGTGGTGTGTTTTCTTGCTTTCCATCTCTGTCTGTCTGGTGAGCGCATGCGCCCTATAGCAAAAACCTCTTAAAAAAAAAAAAAAAGAGAGAGAGAGAGAGAGAGAGAAATGTCTAAATTTTGCATATGGTACTCTGTAGAGATTCTTGGACCGCATGAGGCTGAAATGACTTTCACCAAAGTTGTCTCAGTGTTCAGCGATTCTTTGAAAACAAGGTAATTCACAACTACATTTATCCAAATAGCTTTAACAATAAAATAGGAACTAAATTTTTTCATTATTTTGGTAACGATCTTAGAAATATTGATGGTTAATAGCTGTAAAACATCTGGAATCTTCATATAACTAATCTCTCATCACAAAAGACTAATAGTCTTGCATTTAATGACCATTTATTGAGGGCTAGGCACTGTGGTAGACATAAATTTGAAAGTAAATGTATAAATTTTCATTTGAAAGATCTACTGCTACCCTGAGGAAAACTTAAAAATGTGAAAAAAAAACAAAAGAGAATTTCCTTACTATCATACTCATTAAAAATACCACTGAAGAGGACCAGCAGTTAGTGTAATGGCTATGTTGCTGGACTCCCACGTAGTCAACCGTGGTTCGCATCCCGGACCCGGTGGCTTAAACTCACACCGGGCGCATGTGCGTGTGTGCCCAATATCCCGAGAGGAGAATGGAGGAGAAGGGATTGTGGCGTGACCAACCCCATGGGGAGTGATTTCTCGCTTTCTGTCTCTCTGTCTCTATCTGTCTGGCGAGCACACGTGCCCTGTAGCAAAAATCTCTCAAAAATAAAAAATACCACTGAAGCCCAAACTATTTTCTCTGCAACACATAAACCCATACAAAATCTAGACATGTAAATGGGATATAAAATCTCTTTGGTCAGCTTGGCTTCACACTAGTATTTGATGCTCTTGCACCAATGCATTCTGAAATCTTCAGGAATTTTACTGAAACCCTACAGGCGTCTTGTGATGTCTTTGTGAAAAGCCCAAATCCCTCTAACTTAAGGCAAAATATGTCAGGTACATTCTTACAGCATAAAGAAGCAATGGGCCTCTCTGGAAGAAAAGATGCCGCAGTCTACTACTGGAAGCATTTTTCCTGCCTAATGAGAAGCCTGACCTTTTCTTTTCTGCTCCTTAGGCCAAGAAGTATTTTATGTTTGAATAATCAAATAATAAGTGACATCTAATATGTACAAGAAACACTAAAGTTTAAATTCATCCCCTGAAGGCACTTCCCTACCCGTTCATCCCCAAATGTATTTCAATCACAGTTTAAGAAAGAAAACCAACCAGTCCAGAAAGATTCCCTTCCTACCTCCTGAGTGTGTTCTTTATAGACTTGCAGTGGCCCTGCAGGTTTGGCGGTATCCCAGAGCTGCAGTGAGCCATCACCACTACAGGTGACAAGGACATGTTCGTTGTTCTCACTCCAGGTTACATCAAACAAACCATCATTCCAGTCAAAGCTATACCAGGAAAATTGAAACAAAAACAAATTACTTAGGCAGCCAAACAAGAAACAATGATAATTATAAAATCCCATTTTATAAAAATGGGATTTTTTTCCTTAAAATTTCACACATATTTTAACATACATTACTCATATAATCTTGACAACTGTGGGAGATAAATAGAGCAGGTATTTGACAGACATGGAAACAAGTTCAGAAAGATTAAAAGAAAAGTTTGAGAACCAGTAGGTAGCATGGTGGTTAAGACACTGGATTCCGACATGGCTGAGCACTGTTCAAGTCCCAGATTCGGCAGCTTGAAACATCACACCAGGTGTGAGTGTGTGTGCATGCCCAAAATTCTGAAAAGGGAATGGAGGAGAAAGGATTGTGGTGTGGCCATCCTCTTTCAGGGGTGATTTCTCTCTCTCTCTCTCTGTCTCTCTTTTTCTCTGGCAAGCACATATGCCCTATGGCAAAAAAAACCCTAAAAAATAAATAAAGAACAGTTTAGGTAGGTCATACAGGTAGAAGACTGTCGAGCTGTATTGAAATTAAGTATCCCAAACACTAGTATGGAACTACTTATACAAGGAAATGCTGACACACCCTCATGTTCACTTTTTGTGTGTGTGTGTGGTTCATAGGACGGGCCAATAAGCCCTTCAAAATACTAATTTAGACCATTAAATCTCAACCTTTCCTATAAATCTTTCACCTGAGTTATGTAACACTTGTTCCATAAACCTTTCACCTAAGCAATGCATACGTAGTTATTTTCTTTTTTTTTTTTTTTTTTTTGGAGAGATTTTCACTGTAGGGCGCGTGCGCTCGCCAGACAGACAGAGAGAGACATAGAGAAAGAAAGCGAGAAATCACCCCCCAGGGAGGATGGTCACGCCGCAATCCCTTCTCCTCCATTCTCCTCTCAGGATCTTGGGCACGCACACACACACGCCCGGCGTGAGTTTTAAGCCACCGGGTCCAGGACACGAACCGCGGTCGACTACGTGGGAGTCCAGCGACATAGCCATTACCCTAACTGCTGGTTCCCGGTAGTTATTTTCTAACAGAATTCCCTCTCTTTCTTTCCCTTTTACTAACCCTAAGGGATATGTTAAGGAGTCCAACAGTCACACCTGCAAGACAGGCATGGAAAGAAAGGAAAAGATTTGCTGCAAAATCCACAAAGGGACAATTAGTTCCCACAGGAGTAAAGCTAACCTCTATCACAAAGATAGCATTTAAGTTTTACCGTTTATAAACAGACACTAAGAGCTAAGCTTTAGAAGAAAATCTTGTATCTTAATGGCAAAAATAAGCTCTATACTATGCAAATGCTGAAGTTCCTCTCATAATGCATATTAAAACATCTTACTGATCAAAGAGTTAAAACCTAATTCTATTAAGGCTTTGATAGGAAAAAAAAAAGAATACATATGTGTTTAATAACTAGAGCCACCAACCTTCTAAAGAGTCTAAGCCCAGATTCATTTTGATCCAGTATTAACAGAGTTCCACAGCCTGGGAAAAAAAAAAAAAAGATGCCAAGGTCATGCCATTGACTCTGCCAGGGAACCCTTTAAGATCAAAGACACACCGAGCACCTCTCTTACTATCACATACATCTCCCTAAGTTATTGGTACATGTGCATAAAATGATCAGGATTGTGCTTTGGTCACTAAATATTCAATTTAGCCATCTCCCCTATGGTTAGAATCCAGACAAAGCCCTAAAGAAGAGATTTTTAAGTTCCTATTCTGTGGCCAGGGAAGGTGCCAAGGACGCAAACCTTCCAAGGTGGTGTTACTATCCCAGCTGACAGATGAGAAACCTGGGGATTACAGACCTGACAGACAGTGCTCTTTCCACTAAATCATCCTGAGTTATGTAACACTTGTTCCATAAACCTTTCACCTAAGCAATGCACCAACAAACTTAAAGTACGCCTAATGCAGGAGTTTAAAACAAAATATGAAGATAGAAATAACTGGTGAAATTTACCAGATAGACAATGGTAAAGTGCTGAAAATATTAGTACCACTTAGCTGCCAAAGATTAATTATTTTACTAAAGGATTCATGTATTCTAAAGTCACACTTATTTTTATGGAAACCAGGAGGAAAACTATTTAAACATGACTGATTTTTTCTAATACTCTTACAGAGTTTTTTTTTTTAAAGGATTTACAGTATCATTACAGATTCCTAAGTCTTCAACCTAACAAGTATTATAAACCAGAATGGGCAAGCACTATAAGCCAATGATGAAAATACAAGAAAGCATTTCTGTGCCTCTGAGTTTTAGAAATCACATTATTCTTTTTTTTCTGCTGTAGAACCAAACAAAAGGCATTACAGAGCAGGGCATTACGCAATGACTTCAGTGTGTAAACAACGGCTAGCATGTTCAAAGAAAGCAAACTCGAGAATGGACTCTCATCCCTTTCTAGCCTCACCTGAAAAAAAAAAAAAATCAACTTGTACCTCTAATAACTCTTGGCAAATATGTGTATGACTTCGAAAAGTTTGCAGAAAAAAGTGGAATTAAGGTACAAGTTTGCTTAAGTGAAAAAAAGAAAAACACTGAAATCCATCCATAGGTGTTTCATTATAAGCTTGTTAGATAAATTGTTTGAAGACTCCTCGTTTTCTCCGTGAGACAACAAAGAGTGAGGACACAACTCAATGCATTTATTGACCGCACTAGCAAAGAAACTCCGAAGCATCCTTCCCTGGACGGGCAGCCCAGAGCTTTGGGATCAGGGCTCCCGTGCAGGCTGTGGGAAATGGGACAGTCAGAAGGTGCCGGGAGGGACGTGAAGACCGTCTTCTAAGTCTTGTTGGGCCGGCCGGACCGGTCCGACCGGGCAGGAGCCACACCGGCTTACCCCGCGATCTGCCTGGGGGGCGTGTACCTCAG